TTGCTTTTTAATGCCAGTCCTCAATTTAGAATATGATAATGATAAATGGATAGTGAATGTGACAATACCTGGAAACAGCAGAAGAGAAGGAACTGGAGAAGATAGAAAAATACAAAGATATGAAAATAGAAATAGAACGACTGTGGCAAATGAAAGCTAAGGTAGAACCAATAGTAATAGGTATCTTGGGTACAATCCCAAAACAACTGGAGCACCATTTGAACACCACCAGCATTAACAAATTCACCATCAATTGCAAAAGGCAGCTTTACCTGGAACCGCTTGCATCCTGCAATGATATTTGTAGTTTCATCAAACATTCAGATCTGTCTATTCCAGGTCCTTGGGAAGGACTCAATAACTGAACAAAATGCCAAATCCAGTCTGAACATCTGGCTGACTGTGAGATGAGCCATAATGATAACAATGACATACTTTGTAGCATAATAAAAATGCCTACATTACTGTAAGATAAAATAAACAGAACTGATTAGATTGTACTGGATAAGGGCAGAGCATCCAAGTAAGGAACAAACAAGAGCCCAATTTTTAAATCTGAAATTGGCAAACTGCAGGTGATTTGGAGAATTAAGAATATGAGGTAAGAGAGGAAGAAAAACACTCCCTTCAGGCAAGGAGAAACATGAAGTAGGGGAACAAATAATAAATGTGAGACAATTTTTTTCTACTGATGATCTCCCAGGCTGCTGTTTATTCTATATTTCTAGCTGATTTATAAAGGAACAGGATAAATGAGAAGGAACTTCGAAGTAAGAGAATAAAATGAAAGATAATCAGATAGGTAGAAGTCATAGTGCACTTCCTAGCTAATGCTAGATGTGTCGTTCAGGTTTCTCCCTACTTTTAACAGACCTACCAAATACTCTAGGATTAAATTAAATATACTATAAAGGTTCTAGAATACACAGGTGACTCCAAAGGGTTAACAGGAAAAAGTTAATGTCTCAGCAGGTTCAGTCTCCTTCAATTCATCTGATCTTTTGCTGATAGTGTTTCCTCCAGGGAGAAACTGGCTTGATTTGCAAAGAAATTAGATTGAGCTTGGGATCCTGGCTCACTGCATACTCCTGGGACCCCTGCTGGCAAGCAAGAAACTAATACACTTTGGAAGTAGATGGTGGGAGAAAATGTGAATGTGATTCCTTAAGACCTTTTAAGCTGAGAAATAGTTATAATGCATTTTATAGTTAAAGCCAAGGCAAGTTTTGAAAAACTAATTTAATCTAGAGTTGGACATTTTCATATATTTTTTTAATTGATTATCCAAAAAAAATAAAGGGAAAAGCACAAAAATATTAGTGATGGTGATACATAAATTGTTAAAGAAAGAACAAAGAGAACACTATGAAAAGTGAAAAATACAGCAAAAAATGAGCATAATATGACACGACATAATTATAATTAAAATGCATTTTATAGTTAAAGCAAAGGGAATTTTGAAAAATTAATTCAGTTCTGAGTGAGATATTTTCATATCTCTAATGGCCAGTTGTTGTGATACTAATAATCCTTGTTCCATGCCCCAAAGCAGTACGTGACGCTTGATCCATGGTTCATGCATTGTGGCAAGTCATAATTTCCTCAACTGTGATAAAGAAATAAACAATAATTGAGTGAGGAAGCAATAAATTTGCTTTCCTTAAGAAGTCTGAAGGAAATTGGGGAATGGATTTATAACTTTTAACTGGAAAACAATTTCATCTGGAGCTTTTTTGGAAGGTAGACAGACTTTGGAGATTGGTCCTACGATATTTAACCAGACAACAATAGATAAGGAATGCTCACAAGAAACAAACATGGATATTTGATCCAGGACAAATGATTGTTATCTTTTGGGATGACTTGGCGATGGTAAATTTTCTATGAGTTGATTAAAATAACAGTTTCAATATCAGAGGGTTTTGAAACTTTAATCTTATTTTTTATTATTGTTGTTGTTCTTGTTAACTACTTGGTCATTAAAGTATACAGGTAACAAGCTAATAATTTTCAAATAGATTTGTTGTTGTTAGTTGTGAAGTCGTGTCTGACCCATCACGACCCCATGGACAACATTCCTCCAAGTCTTTCTGTCTTCGCAAATATTAAAAATATGGGGGGAGGGGGCTGTTTCACATGAGGGGGCTGTTTCACATGAGTGGCAAACTAATATTGTTGTAGTAAATAATCAGTATTTAATTAGGGTGGATAATGTGCATCTGTGTTAGGTTTTTTTAATGCACTTTTTATATCTTGTTTTGTGTTTTTTTTCTGTTTTCTGTTGTTTATTGAAAGACAATTTTTTGAAATTTTGAATTTGTACTTTTTTATACTATTTTTGGGGTAAAATAAAAACAGAATAACAAAAAGGAATAAATAGTAATTGACAAGAATCACTCCAGCATAGCAGAAGATATACCCATTATTCAGTTTGTAGTACCATATTTGGGCCAATTTTCTGTTGGCAACATTCAGAGCAATTTGCATTCAGAAGCTCAGTATGAATAAGCAATAGTGTAAAGCATAAAAAAGCCCCCACATTTAATTTTCATAGTCATTTATTTATTATTATTATTTATTTATTCAATTTAAGTAGCAACCCATCTTACACATGTGAATCTGGGTGACTCACAATAATTAAGATAACCCCCAACACAATAAACAAAATACAAATAAAAACAACAAAAATGTATAAAATTATATTTTAAAAAAACATAGAACATAATCAATGGCAGATTTCTGTATAATCCATTTATAATATTCATATATGTAAGTTGTAGTCCTCAATTGGGAACAGAATTTCCATAGCTAAGCTAGGTGGTTGAGTCATGATCCCTTTTGCCATGCTTATTAATGTGAACCCTTGCAGTTGTTAAGTGATTCACACAGTCATTAAGTGGATCCACTTTCCCCAATGACTTTGCTTCTTGGCAGCTGCTTCTTGGGAAGATCACACCAGTCTGGGACACTTTAGCCATTGTAAATATGTGCTGGTTGCCAAGTATCATAATGTTGATCACGGGGGAAGCTGCAATAGTTGTAAATATGAGGACCAGTTCAAGTCATCTTTTTTAGTGCTGTTGTAACTTCAGACAGTAGCTAATCAAAGGGTTGCAATCAAGGACAACTGAAGAACCACTAAACAGGACCTACAGTTCTTACTACCAATTCATTATTTTCTCTTAAGCCCAGTCTTCTCTCTATTTCAAAAAAAAATTTAAATACATAAGAGAAATATGGCATGATCCTCTTGTGAGGAGGATCAGATGCTTAAACAGGTTACTTAACCTGCCAACTCTACAAATCCCATCTCATTGTATTCCTGAGCAACTGTTTGACCCCTATTACACCTCATTTTCCCCTCTCCATAAATGCTTAAGCTCCTCCTATTCTCATGCATTCTGCCCAGCAAAAGCCCATCTAAGAATTTTACACATCTAGCATCAAATACCTATCCGCGTTTAAAATTGGAATATGAGATTCAGGGAAACAGACTAGGAAAATAATGTTGGCCAGGAAAATTAAATGGAGAAAAAGTTAAAGACTCCTAGCCAATCTTCCTCTGTAAGTGGCCCTTAGCCCTACAGTCATAAGTTTGAGGATATAAATATTTGCGGAAATATTAGATTGTTCATTTGAAGTTCTGATCTAGAGATGTTCCTTTAATATGGGAAAATTATTATTATGTTTTAGAAGACATCTTACCGGCTTTGTGGACCAAAACAGTTTTTTTTCTCCAAAATATTATTTTCCTCTAAAAATGGCTGAATTCCCCCCCCCTCTCCAAATAATTTTACATTGTATCCAACTATAATGCTTAAGGGAATAAAACTGAATAAATAACGGAACTGAAGCATTTCTTCAAGCAGCAGCTTAATTGGATCAGACGATTAATGCCCTTTTTACTTGAGTGACTTAAAAGCAAAACTAGATTGCCAAATGTCATAATCCCCTCTCTTATAGAAAGATATAGTGGCTGTCAAAGCATTGTTGAAATGGCAGTTTATTTTGCCTGTAAAATGTACAAAGATGCTTGCATTTGTGGAATTGTGGGGTGCAAATGATACACATGAGTTTAGAGAGCTGGAGATGTGGGTTGGCTTGGACTATGGAAGAAATATCTTTCAGCAGATGCTCTTCACCAAAGATTGGCAGAAGAATACAGGAGACCACAGTTAAGATCGGGAACTGGACTGGGGTTGTGTTGCATTGCTCTCTGATAGGACAATATCTCCTCAAGTCCCATCCACATACTGACAATACACAGATCTCTTAAGTTCAGACAGGTGACAGTTATAGTGCAACTACTTTTTTGTTCTGCTCATGTTCAGAGGCTTTCAGCCACGATCCTGGCAAGATGAACCCTGGCCATCTTTGGAAGGAAGAACCCTAGCCATCTTTCACGTCCCCCCCCCCCCCCCCCCCCAGAAACACCCCCTTCAGGGAATATCCCACTGCGCTTTCCCTAACCCTAACCCTGGCGGTAATTCGGATTCCTTCCACTTCTCCATTCTCGTTCTCACATGGGGCTTGAGCCATTGTGTCGTTCGGTCGCATGACTCACCGCTGCTCCACAGATCTCGCTCTTCGCCGCTTCCCGTCTCAGGTAGGGGATCCCTTCAGCAGTAGCAGCAGCGAGAGCCACGCGGATCGGGCGGAAAGATTGGATCCCCTTGCCCGCCTACCACCAACGTCCACTGGAGGCCGCCGACAGCTGCGGACGCTCCTTCCCGGAGTGGGGTGGGGGTGAAGAATGATCGCGGCGCGGAGACCCCACAGCTCCCAGAAGAGGCAAGAAGGGGCGTCCAGGATGGGTGGCGGTGGCAGCGGACGCTAGGCGGCGGCGTGGAGCGCGGTCAGCTTACTCCCCGGGCTCGCTCGGAGCTTTCGGCCACAACCTGAGACTCGTTCAGCGCCTGCCTCCCAATTTCTTGCCTGCCCAAGACCCGTTGCTCGCTGCAGCCGCCGCCGCAGCTGGGCAAGACCACAAAGGTGAAGTTTCTCAGAGACCTACTCCAAGCGCGCCACGACCGGGGCTGAAGGAGGAGAAGCAGGATTCGGGCAGGAGAAGCAGGAGACGAGGCTTTCTCTTCGCTCGGTCACCCGCCCGACCGCCGTCCTTCCGACCGCCGTGCTGTCGCGGGGCTCAAATCCACGGGACTCGACTGGGAAGCCCCGCGCTTCGCCAAGTGCCGCCTGAAGGGAACTTCCATCCACGAGAGGGGGACACGCGTCCCTCAGGAATTCCGGGCAGAGAACCGCCGAAGAAAAGAAGCAACCGGAGCAGCAGTTACTCCTGCAACTGGGAAGTACCCCGTCGGCTCTATCCAGGACATTGCCGCGGCCAAGCACCCTAGGGCAGGCTGGTTACTGCACCCCAGTTCTGGTTACCGATACCGACGCACGAATCTGACTGAGTTTGATCCCGGGGCTTAGAGAGCTTCACTCAAGAGGGCACCACCAAAGCGTCTATCTACACCACCACTCTCGCATCTGCAAAGCCTGGCTTCCTGCTGGGGTTGCCTGCAGACTTGGGGTTTATAAAGACTGTGCTAGATAGCCTGTACCGTTCCAGAAGGAAGCCACCCCTTACAAGACAGCTGGCCAGCGACCCAAAGCGTGCAAAAGGGAGGTCCCCAATAAACTGATCTTATCCTGCACTTGTACCATTCCACTGGCATCATAAGAGAGTGGCAGCCGAACGGGTTGGGTCCCTTCCTTGTGTTTCAGTGTTTGTTCTGTGCCTCTGGCATCATCCTCTACTAAGACAATGTTTTAAATAATCAAATAAAGATTGTACAATCATCTGGATTTTATTTGTGCTGGTATCTGGCAGTTACCCAAGGCACAGAAAAGACCTCTCTGGATTCGGCTCCATTGATCTCCAACAACTGCCCACGCCAAGCGGACGAGACCACCAGCTACTGCCTGCTCTGCTAATGATTGCCTACATTGGGCCCCTCGCATGAAACAACGGTTTTTTCCCCCCGCTGAGACCAGCCTTCGTTCTACTACTAAACCACACAGAGTGTAAGGAAATCTCCTTCTCGTCAGAATGTCAGTCGTGAGAAGAAAGTTTGGTGATGACTATCAGGCCGTGGTGGCTGCACCGTTCCATCGGAAAAGGCAGCGCTTTGTAGACAAGAACGGCCGCTGTAATGTCCAGCATGGCAACCTGGGCAGTGAGAACAGTCGCTACATTTCCGACCTCTTCACCACTCTGGTGGACCTCAAGTGGCGTTGGAACCTTCTCATTTTCTTGCTGACCTACACCGTTGCTTGGCTGGTGATGGCCTCCATGTGGTGGGGAATCGCTTATTTGCGTGGGGACCTAGAAATACACCAGAGCCCCAGTTCAGGACACAACCCATGTGTGGCTAATGTCTACAACTTTCCCTCGGCCTTCCTCTTCTTCATCGAGACAGAAGCCACCATTGGCTACGGCCATCGCTACATTACCGAGCGCTGCCCAGAAGGAATTGTGCTTTTTCTGTTCCAGTCACTGCTGGGCTCTGTGGTAGATGCCTTCCTCATCGGATGCATGTTCATCAAAATGTCCCAACCCAAGAAACGTGCTGAAACTCTCATGTTTAGCCGGGCTGCTGTCATCTCGCAGCGAGATGGAAAACTCTGCCTTATGTTTCGGGTGGGCAACCTCCGCAACAGCCACATGGTCTCAGCCCAGATCCGTTGCAAACTCATTAAGGTGGGTGAAAGGATTCCCTGGAAGGGAGGGAGGCTCATGGCGGGTAAGGTTCTTCCTATCTTCTTGCATGCTGATCTTGGCAGCTGTGCTCTAGGGTATAGCAAAGCCCTGTCTTTAAGCTTCAAATCTAGCTTCTGTTCTAAGGCTATTTATTTTTTCCCCCTCTCTGCAAAGCAGGAACAAAGAGCTATTGGAAAAGGCAAGCACATTTCATACATGATAGTGGGTGGCAAAGGAAAGCTGCTGTATAAATAATACACATCAGTAGATATTAAACCAAGAATAAATGGGTCCTTAAAAAGATGCTGAAATAGGCTTAGGGAGTTCTACCAGACGGCCCAAGGATAAATGTTCAGTTACTAAAATATACGCTTTGTAATATTTGATAAAGCATTTTATCATTTCCAGATCTTGCTTTGGATATTTAATTTTGAGGATATAACTAGAGACTACAGACGTACAATTACGGCCTTTTGCTCTTATTGGGGAACTGTTTCCAGTAACGTTCATAAGATCAGGGTGTATTTTATTAATTTCAATAACTTCAGCTTTTCACAACTTCTCTCTTTAAAAAACAACAAACTTCAAAATCCGGCAAACATTCCATAAGCAATCAAGTTAGAAAATGTCATTGAATTTTTGCAAGCGCATCTGAGCTGCTGTAAGTCATTGGTGAACTTTGCTATTGAGTAGCCTATCAATTTTGTTAATATGCAAATAAAAATTAGGAGAACATCCTAAGGTTCCATTGCAAATGCCCTATGCTTTTGAGTTTGGGTTGCTTGATTTAACCAAGAGCTTGATTCAAAATGTTTATAAAGCCAGCTCTGAAAGACAGAGAAAACATGCTAAAAAGAATAATGTCTTTAAGCACATTCAGTATACCTTTCCACTTTTCCTCTGCTGCCTTGGCTGGAGCCTACATATGTTCTGCAGTGCCAATAAATGGCCAGTGCTTTCTGCTTTGACCCCAACAGTTGGAGAGAATTGATTCCAGGCCTTTCCGTTCCTGCAGGTGACTGGTGCTCCTGCCAGAGCTTCCGTCCCTGACAATCTGTTCAACATAGAAACCCTCGCCCAAACCAATTTACACTCAGCCCACTCTCTTCCAGGTCAGAATCACTCTACAACAGCAGGAGCAAACAATATTCAGAACAGCAGCCAGGAGATAAAATAACACTGAAAACGCTGTGGGCAGAGAACCAAACACAGCGAATACCTTTTCTGTATTCTCTGGAATTGAATATTTCCTACCTATGAATGCCATCCTATCTCTGCAGGCAGGTATGTCCTTCGCAGTGGGAAATTCAAAAGATACTTCCTCTTTGACATAATTTCATGTAGCATGAAAGAAACAACTTTCCTATCTGAACCTAAGACTAACATTAGGCTGGGGCTTTGAGGTAGAAATGTAGGCTTTCACACAATACCCTGTAAAGAAAAAGAAGGTGTTAAACATCCAGTCTAAAACTACATCCAAGTCAGTCAATTACAAATCTACAGTACCTGAGAAATCAAACAAAGACAGCATTAGGTTACTAAATAATACCCTTATGGCAGAACCTGTCAGACAGATCATCATCATAACAAGTTGTAAAGTAACTATTATTTACTTGCACAGCAATATAACAGCCCAGTGCAATGCACTTCCTTCCAACCTGAAAAGAAGAAAAGAACTAAAATAATTCTGATATTTGTAAGCAATTTATTGCCCTTACAGAGAAGACAAGGGGGCCCGGAACAACTGCTTTTGGGAAAACAAAGAGGAGCCCCCAGAGAAAGAAACAGAAGGGACAGAAAAAATCTGCAGCTATATCGATTTAGTCTTTTCCTGCCCTGCGCAATGCTGTACAAAGCAAATATGCCTGGACACAAGAAGTTATAATAGTCACCATTTCAGAAGCTAGCAAGACTTGTAATCTTCAGCAGGATGACTTCCAATTACCCCAAAACAACTAGGTACACATCATGCCTATCTCCATTTTTATTTTATTTTTTTAATTTCCTCAGGCAGCAACAGAAGTACTTCTTGTATCTTCTTTTCCTATAGTTTGGGTCTCTCTTCCAACTTGTAAAAATATGGTCCTGTTTTTAAGCTTCTCACAGTTTTTACAACTGCTGTACAAATGAGGTGTATGTGATAAATATAATGGCGGACAGTTATTGCTGAATGGAATTTGTAGCATTACAGAAATGGCTGCTTTTGGTCTTATAATAATCCAGATGCACTTTCTGTTGCCTCAGTGTTTTTCAGAAAATCAAGCCGAGTAAGTTATTCCCAGATGAAAAAAAGACAGATAACATTTTAAAAGAAAGCATATAAATTGATTGTTGACTGTAATAAAAAAATAACTGTACTTAATGAAAGCATCAGTGGAAATGTTGACCTTTGACAATTCAAGAGGGTTTAAAAGGTAAAGGTAAAAGTTCCCCTCGCGCATATATGCTAGTCGTTCCCGACTCTAGGGAGTTTAGGGTTAGGGTTTTTTTAATGATAATAGTATAACACTAATTACATTCTCAAGCTTTCTACTTGTATATAATATCTTTCCAGAGTCTATTGCAAGCCAACAAATACTGAATTTTGAATACTCTTAAACCACAGTGACACAGAAAAATCTGGATGTTAACTCCCATGCATGATATTAATAATCCGTAAAATATTTGCACAAATTGTAATAATACATGGATACCTCATCCATACACACACACACACACACACACACACACACACACAATTAAGCATCCTGTCCCTCATAATTCTATCATTAGAATTTCTCACCTGTAACATACATAGAAATGATGTGAGTAGATTTACTTAGTAATAGAACTGGAATCGATGAAAACTAAGCCTAATGAATTCCTAAGTAATCCTGATTCTAACCTGCTTCTACTATGTGGCACTTACCAGATTTACAGTACAGATGATCCTTGATTTACAACAATTTATTTAGTGACTATTCGAAGTTACAATGGCATTGAAAAAATTGGCTTACAACCAATGCTTGCATTTATGGCCCTTGTAGCATCCCCATGGTCACTTGACCAAAATTAAGGCACTTGTCCATGGGAATGCATTTACAAAGGTTGCAACATGCCAGGGTCATGAGATCACCATTTGCAAACTTCCCATTTGGCTTCCAACAAGCAAAGTATATGGGAGAAGTTGGATTCACTTAATGACCATATAATTCACTTAATGACCATATAATTCACTTAATGATTGCAGTGATTTGCAACTGTGGCAAAAAAAAGTCATAAAATTGGGTGCAACTCATTTCATCACTACTTTGCTTTGCAATGGCAATTCTGGTCATAAGTTGAGGACTATCTCTTCACATGTTCTAATAGGCCCTCATGGTTACCCATTTCTTGTTCATTGCAAGTTAATTGTTGACATACTAAATTCCATGATGAATCCTGGTGAACTACAGGGGGTTCTTTCTTGACTTTTTTGCTTGTTTGTTCCTTTGAGTCTCTCTTGACTCTTAGAGATTGCTGGACTAGTCCCTGCAGTTGTCCTGACAAGATTTCCATAAATAGTTTGCCCTTGCCTACGTCCTAGGGCTAAGAGAGAGTGACTAGTTTTAATACCTCAGGCAGAATTAGAACTCACAATCTCCCAGTTTCTACCCTGGTGCTTCAACCACTACACCAAACCGGCTCATCACTCTTCACTACACGTGTATATATTTGTATTTTAAATAGTTAGCTCTAATTAAACCCCACTGAAACTAATAATATCAGTTAGTGATGCCATCCTATTACTTTCAATGGCAATAAAATGACCCTCTGTTTCAGTCCATTTCTCATCAAGTTTTGGTCATAAAATGCGCCCCATAGAATAACAAATAGTGCCCCACCATAAAAACATTTAATGGAATGCAAAGAAAATTGGCATTCCCAAACCATTATGCCAGTCTATGCCCTGTAATAAAAGTATGCTGATTATTATAAAGGGTAATGCTAATAATATTGTGTTACTGTTTATCTTTTTATTTTGGCATACAAGATATTTGCAGCAGTGTATAACGTTTTTATCTCATCCTTCCCCATGACAAGAATTATCTTGTCAGGGTCATACCTTTCAAGGTGTGAAAATGAACATGGTTTCTTTCTTTCTTCCTTCCTTTTTTTTTGCAAACTGAATCAGCCACACAAAACTGAGGATGAATTCTAAGGTCTGCTCTTATTGGAGGGTGGCATTTGAAGGAAATCTGCAGCTAGCCAGCCCTTGTTCCTCCTGGCAAGAACTGTTTCCTCCCCATCCTGCTGTAGCCATGGCACAAGAGTAGGAAGTGCCTCAAGCTGTCACTCGTGTTGGAACGAGTTGTTCTCTGACTTGTGGCCCCAGTCCAAACCAAGTGCTTTGACTATCAAATGCAATCCATAGTGAGTGCTGGAGACTTTTGACAGCAGGCAAGTTGTGGCAATTGGCACCAGCAGGCATCTCGGCACTTCCTAGAGCTGGATTCCAATGGTGTCATTTGAAGGTCAAATGCAAGATAGGGGGTGCATTTCTTCCTTCCCAGCTGAACTGCGCAATCTGAGCATTTCAGCTTTTAGAAGTCAAGTTTCTAGCTCCTAACATGCCAGAGTAAACGTAAGGATCAAGTTTCTAATACCCAGCATTCCATGGTAAATGAAAAAGGTCTGGAATCTTTTCTTTTCTGTGTCTTTAATGGTTCTTAAGGAAAAGTTGAGGAAGCATAGGCATTTGTGCCAGTTGGGTCAAGCTTAATGTTCTGGAATATATTTTGATATTGTACTGGCTGCCATTCTTTCAGCTCAGGCTAATTACAGCTCAGTGTTTCTCAAGCATGGCAATTTTAAGATGTATGAACAGAGTACCCTAGCCAGCCATTATTTCTGGGAGTTGGAAGTCTATGCTTCTTAAAATGGCCAAGTTTGAGAAGCAATACTGTAGTTTATCTATCTCAAATAAATGATTCTAAAAGAAAGTGAAATGCTGGTTTTCAAGCAAGGCACATCATTCAGGT